TCCATTGGCTGGGCAACACAGCAAGGCTCAAGCCATTCAGCACTCAGAATGAAAGGTAAGGCTAAGCCTGGGGTCCCACAATACCCCACGAGGGGAAACACACAGTACCATACAGCAGCCTAAAACTGTTCATCTAGATCTGTTACTGTTTCTACCACCTTCCAGTAACGCCACAGCAGACTAAGAAAGCACCACCTGGTCCTTCACAGACCATTCCAGATGGTGAAAGAAAAGTCCTGGAAAGAAGCTGTGTGTGCCAAGGCTGTGTGTGACAGGCTGACTCAAACATCCGAGAGTGTGGCAGGGTTGAAGTGTCGCTGAAAGGACCCAGCAGCTGCCACAACAGGCTGCCAGTCTTCTCTCAGTGACCAGGCCTCAATTTCAGTTTCCTGAGACTCGAACAAGCACTTTCTGGGAGGACCGTGAACAAAAGTCATAGTCCTTGCAGTAGCTCCCTTTCTGCCCTTACTCTGACTGCTCAAGGTTCAGTCAATTGTTTACTGTCTGGGACCTCACCCTCACCAACTTAGAGCTACGTGCATGGGTCAATGTGAACTTGTGAGGCCAGCCAGCCTCCATGGCAGCTCAAGGACAGAGCCTGGGCCACTGAGTCAGCCCCTACAGTCAGTACGTGCAAGGCCAGTCAGTCTCCATGGCAGCTCAAGGACAAAGCCTGGGACTTGTCCAGGCCTGCCTAAAAATGGTAACTGTAACCCCCAACCAGTAAATTCAGAGGTTACATACCCTCACTCAGTCATACGATGCAAAGGCTTGTACTACCCTGCTTGCGGTTTTTCCCTTTAAAAACCCCTCACCCTGGGCTGGAGAGATGGCTCAGTGGTTAAGAGCACTGGCTGCACTTCCAGAGGTCCCGAGTTCAATTCCCAGCAACCACATGGTGGCTCACAACCATCTGTAATGAGATATGACATGCAGGCAGAACACTGTATACATAATAAGTAAGTAAGTAAGTAAATCTATCTTTAAAAAAAAAAACCTCACCCTGAAAGCTCAGGGCCATCCTCCTCCACCCGCTGTGTCGGAGTGTTGGACACAGATCAAGCTTGGGCTCGCTTGTTATCAATAAACCCCTGTGTGTTTCGCATTGGATGTCGGCTCTGTGGTGGTCTTGCTTGAGGGTCTCTCGACAGAAGCACAACATTGCCGTTTCAAAGCCTAATTTACAGTGTGTCATGAGGACCTCTAGCCAACCAAATAGCTGTTCCTTGACCATTGTGGGTCAGCCCAAGTCATAAACAGATAAAAAGTTCTGGAATGTGCTAGCAAAGCCCTATTCCTCACCCATGGAAGGCTAAGAATGCTGTCAAGTGACGACTGAGGCCTGTCTGCCTGGCTGTGGCCTGCTTCTCTGCAGCCCGCCGATGTATTTTCAGTGTCCTTGACTTGTGGCTCTCTTTGTTCTGATACTGTAAAACCTGGAGGAACTCCTTCCATGTAGGAACCTGCAACCCGGGCCACCTAACTCCATGTCACTCATTCTGGTCACTCATATTTGGCTCTAGAATAAACTCTTAACTTCCCTTTGAGGTGGAAGCTGTGTTTCTGTGACAACCAGATTCAAACTCTGACAGGATAGACAGTTCCTTCCAGTGGTCCTTTTATCTGTCCCCCATCGTACAGATAAAGAAACTAAAGTGAACAGCAGATGAATAAGAAATCCTTGTTCCCACAGTTAGTTAGGAACTCGGTTTGTCTGATCCCAAGACTGTGCCTCACCCACAGTGCATGACTGCCTCCTGGCAGGGGCGGAAGCTGTTTTGTTCTCACTGCTTCCACGTCTGGACACAGCTTGGTGCCAGGCACAGGAGTGTCCAGTCCGTGGTTGGCATTGTATGCAGCAAGATGCCAGACGTGACCTTTGCTGTGTTGGTTGTCAGCTTCTCTGCTGCGGAGGGGAGGAAAACGCCAGAGCAAAATCCATCCGCCTAAGGGTCATCCGTCCAGCTGCCTTGGACAGGCATGGTGCGGATTCAAAGATGGCCTTCAATGCAAACAGAAGAAAACAGCTCTGACCTGAGCGACCTGAAGGAGGAATATGAAGTCCAGGAAGAAGGAAATGAAGATTTTTATTCTGGGAAATATTTAATCTAATGTCATCAAGATGTGCCCCGAAGCCGGCTGCTGTAAACAACGCCACGGTTTCAACTACTAACCAGCATGCTTTGCGAGGAGACGCGATACTGACTGGTGTGTGCTGCTGTGGTTTAAGGACTCCAGAGTGCGTGCTTCAGAGCGGGTTATCTACCTGCTGTGCAACCTCCAGGAATGCCGAGAGGGCAGAAATCCCGAGCAAACTCCAGCAGAACTAGATTATCTAGAGTGTAGATAATACATAAGGAGTTACAGAACGGCTCGCTGTTTCTGTTTAAGTTAGGAAAGACAAAGACCTGTGACAGAAACGGTTCAAAGTATGCGGCACGCAAACCTGCGAAAATAATTTTACTGAGTTTTTATTCCAAAGCAAATGTGAGTGGATTAACATGTGGTTTGTTTTAAGAGTACCTAATCATGAAGTTATCTCTATGTGAATGGTTAAAATCTATAAGGACTATTCTTTGAGGCTTCCCTTGCATTTGTGAGCTTAAGAGGAGAGAGATCAGAACTCTCTGGTTGAAGTTGTTAAATTTAACAATCCAGTGTTTTCTTCAGGGCCGTATTTCCTACTGCAGAACAAAAGCAAGTCATAACTGAAGAAAAATGAGATGGATGTTCTGAGAGACAGGATAACGATAACAAGGATGAACACTTACATGGAGACCTGCCATGTACGAAGCAGGGTTCTTAGGTCTGTGTATTATGATTGCTTGGTGCTCGTGAGGAAACCTGGGAAGCTAATCATCCTTTATTGACAGGGAACCGGAGGCATCTGGAGGCTGTAGTTCTTCGGTCTCAGTATGTAGGAGGTGAAGGTACGATTGGACCGAGGTCTGTTAGGGATGGCATTGCATGCTTGTCTACCTCACTGCCTCACACCAGAGAGCGGAAGTCATGCTGAAGGTGAACAGATTTCAGGTTGAGTTCCCAGGTGCACTTGTGACCTTTTCTTCAAGTGTTCACTCCTTCCTAAGGTTTCTGTGAGCCAAACATTTTGTCCTTTCCATAAACTTATTACTGCTGGGTTTTTATAACCTGGGAACAACTTAACTAACCCAGAAACTGAGTCCCAGAAATGGCATGACTCCCTGGCATCCATCATATAGGGAGCACAATGAGTGGGGTGGGTGGGAGCTGCCAGGAGTTCACTGTGAGCATCACCACACTTAGCACCATCTCTTAGGATCCCGAACCCCATGCCTAGTCAGGGTCTAAATCTAGGAAATGTGGTAGAAAAAAAAAGAAAGAAAGAAAGAAAAAGAAAAAGAAAGGACTAAAAGTTTTCCAGATGGGGGCTTGAGAGACAGCTCAGTGGTTAGGAGGACCAGTTACTTTCCCAGAGGACCTGGTTTTTTATTCCAGCACCCACATGGTGGCTCACAACTATCTGTTAACTACAACTTACAGGGATCTGAAAAAAAAAATTTTTTTTTTCTTAACCTCCCAGGGGCTGTCAGAAAAGTCTATAGGGTGGAAAGTTCACATCTGAACATTGCTTCACGGGCTTTCTTACTAGGCTGCTGCCCATGACATGCAACTTTGCTGAACAGAGGCAGAGTAGGAACATGGATACAGAAAACACGAGAATGCAAACACTGTAGCACAAGGCCATTTAATAAATAGATGTCAGTCACTCATTCCCAACCCTCCCTCCTTGCACTGTCTCTGAGTATATAAAGGTGATGCTTCCCTGCTTAAAGTACAGTTGTCAGAATGTCTTCTAAGAGCATTCTCTCAGTCAGCTTTCATGGTAGGTAAACCAGGTCTCTTTCCCCCAATCACAGTTCTGGTCCAGGAGGAAAAGGCGGGTCCCCAGACGACCTGAGAGTCTTTCTGAATTGTTAGGAAATGCAAAGCTGTTCAAATGAAACTTATAAACATATGACCAGGATATAGAGATTGATCTAGCTCCCATACCTAGAGACCTGTGACTGCAGACCTCTATCTCACCCCGGCTCCCAGCAAATGACCCTGGTCCACCCCCGCCACCTTACAGCAGCTGTGCACCATGAGGATGAAAGACCCTAGATCCATCTCGGAGAAATGACTGCAGTAGGTCCTAACTTGTGCTGGACAGATGTGAATTAGAGGCAGATAGAGCCAGCAGCCAGAGCTCGCCAGCAGTCAGGGTATCACTTTCTGATCTTCCGACTTGCGCTCACTCATTCAGCTAAAACAGAAGCCCACGGGTCAGGCCAGAACAGGGACTTTGAACAACATCTTCCCTTTATCAGCATGACCTCTTTACTTCACTTTGCCTTGACTGACTCAGTCCCCTGTTTTGACTACACGCCCATCCCTTGCTCTGATGGACGTTCTGCCCCCGCAGCCCTGCTCTTACCTGGGTGAGAGTCCTCCATAGTGCTTACTTCATCTTTAGCAGCTCTCGGTTTCACAATGCATGTCTCAGATTTTAAAATGGTAACTTATGTGAGCACTTATGCTTTTCCATTCCTCTGACTACTGGCAACCCAGTCTTAACCCTGTTTTTATTGCCCATTTGGCAATCGCATCTATAATAATGGCTTCCTCCAGAAGCTCTGTTGGCTAATTAGCAGAAGCTGTCTGGCTTGCTCTTCACGCCCTGGTTTTCTGCAGCGCCCCTCAGTCTTTCGCCCCGCCTCCTCTTGAAGCTCTTCTCTCCCAGTCGGCATGTAGGTTATCAGTCTCTTCCCTCCTTACCCTTCCCTGGTCTGGTGTTTTAATTCCAGTCTTTGACATATTTTCAACCTGTCGCCCTTCTGGTAATCTCCATGTAGATAGTGTAATTACTTTTAATAGCTTTCGGTTTCACGAACCCTATAAATACTTGGCCCACGTTGCCAAGCTGCACAATCAAACCTTACTGAGATCCAAAGGACAAAGGTGACACCAGAGAAGCCACCATGGACACCGCAGGAAAGGTGAGTGTGGCGCTTCGTGATGCACCATGTCACCCTCACTGCCACGAGCAGTGTGTGTTTACAAGAAATTTAGATTTTGTGTTCTCTGATCGGATTATTAACAAATTTCAATGACAGGAGTACTCAAAGTTTCCCAAGATGTGGAAAGTCTCCCACCACTGCCTAGAGGATGAATTTCTGACAAGTTTTCGAGGGATAATTTGCTAATCCTGCAGCAAAAGCTTTAAAATTTGCCTCCCATTTCATCTGAAAGCATATGAGACTGACATGCTCTTTGCTGTGCTACAGGGGCACCTCAGACTGGAAATGACCCCAGTGAAAGAGTCCTGTGTGTTCTCACAAGCAGGTTAGCAGGGTCACGGTAAAGGTCGTGCATGGAAACCACATGTGTGGAGTCATAGGAAGGTGCAGTTACAACGCATTAGTCAGTGAGCCTTAAGTGGTCAGTAAAGATCACCGGAAAATTACTATCGTGTTACAGGGAACGTCAAGCCGCGACCCAGTCTGCTCGCTGTGGTCAGATGAACACACAGTGCATGCACAGAACATCGACGGAAGAACTTGCTCTACATCGTTAGCAGTGGCGGGAGCTGGGCCTCCCTGCTTCTTCCCCTTACATTTGTCTGTGTCACTTAGTATTTTGTGTTATCTGTATATTGCTTTTTTTTCCCTAAAAGCTGTTTTTGACAAAAGTTTTGAGTGAGACTGAAATTATTCTAATTATGTTGTTCACAGACAGAAGTATTGTCTATCCCTGTAGTTGAAAGTTCTTGGGAGCCATGGCCTTTCTCTTTGGAAGATAAAAACCTATATTATCTCTTCCACTGGAGTCTAAATTTCTTGAAGACACAACAGATTTACTCTACTTACAATTACCAATGCAGAAATCATACCTATAAATGGAACACATTTGAAATTATACAAACTAGAATCACGGGGTACTAAATCTGAAAGTTAGGCCAGTCCACTCATTGAGGAAGGAGCTGTTGCAAGAATTCACAGAAAGATACTCAAGGCAATAGAAAGAGCCTCTAAAGAGAAGCCTGGAAAACAAGAATTTGGTTGTGTAGCGAGAGTGCTAATGTAAGTAGGAAAGGTTGAAACAAACAGTATCCAGGCTGCCCTGGGGCAGCTCATTTAGACTGTAGCTTTGCATTATACAAAGAAACAATCTTCAAATAAATATGAGTGAAGTGTTTAAAAATCAAACTGAAAAAAATTTCAAAGAGAGGATAAGAAACATTTATTTCTATATGGAAGATTTTCAGACTATGGAAATGGAATAAGTTACAAAGGAAAAGACTTTTATAAACAAACATCACAAAACACATGAATCATTTCATATAAAATTGATATAAAAATAGCAGAGGAAAAACTTGTGAGACGAGCTGACAGACAACAAGTTACTCTTTTGATGTTTAAAGAACTCATTTGCATTTAGCAAAAGGCACAAGATGCGGATAGGTGTGTAAATACATGAGCAAGTCTTCTACAGCTCATGGCGAATACCCACACTGCTGCACTGAAAACATACCCATGAAGGTAGTGGGCTGTTCCTGCCTGGGCAATGTCTTGTTTAATGATTCAGTCAATGCTAAGTAAAATGGAACAAATGATAGCAAAGACAATTTATTATTCTGGGGAGTGAGCCAAGTGATTAAATCTTTCTGTAAAGAGATTTGGAAAACAGCTTAGCCCTAACAATGACTCTATCCTCCCCAAGAAAGTTTCACTTAAGGTAAGAAACCAACCAAGAAAAAATTATGAACAAATGTGTTCATCATAATACCCTTTGTAAGAGGAAAAGCAATGGGAACACTCCTATAGCTAGGTAATTATAAAGAAAATTAGGATATACCCAAATAAAGTGGTCATTTCCAATGTGACTATGAAGTTCTTCAAAGTCAAGAGAAACGCTTATAAACATGTCAGCAGTAATGGTTCAATAACTAGTGACTGGTTTAGGAAGAAGAAGAGAGGAAGAGGAAGAACAAGAAGAAGAGAGAAGGAAAAAGAAGGCAAAGTTCCTCATATGGAATAATCTTAACTATTTTAAAACTATTGAGATTTTGTAAGTAAAAAGTATTTTTGAAAGATTGCAAGAAAATTTACTAAATTCTTGGTAGTTTATGCTTGGAATACAGATGACTTGGTTGTATTTATTTATTTTTTGCTTTTTCCCTATGGTTTTTTGTACTTTTACAAATAATAGCAAGTATGATATAAAAAAGAAAGCTTATTGGTAAATGCCATTTTATTTTGTGCCTGTTAGACAATCACATGCCGAGCAGCCATTGCCTGGGCAGAAAAGTCTCGCCTTTCAATTGAAGAAGTGCAAGTTGAGCCACCCAAACCTGGAGAAGTTCGCATTAGGGTAAGTTTAAGTCAGCCAGCCATTCCTTCTGAAGACAAAAGAAAATAATACTGCACTTCAAAAAATAAGTATAGGGCTGGAGAGGTGGCTCAGCAGTTAGGATGGCTGCTCTTCCAGAGGACCCAGGTTCTGTTCCCAGCACCCACATGGTGACTCACAGCCATGTGCAACTCCAGTTCCAAGGGATCCAGTGCACTCTCTGGCCTCCACAGGCACTATATGCACCTGGCACACAGGCCAAACACATACACACATAAAATAAAAATAAATCCTTTTTAAAAATGGAAGTAGGCATAGACATGCGCAAATGAAATCAGCATGTGTCTGCATTTTGCTCTCCTCACTTTTCTTAGTAAAAGAAAAAGATTTTAAACTGATTCATTAATATTAACAAATACATTAGTGAATATTTAGAGGTAGTTGTTTGATTGAGACAAAAATCTCAATATGTAGCTGAGGTTGTCCTCAAACTCATGACCCTCCTGCCTCAGCCTCCTGAGTGCTGAGACTATGAATTCAAGATTGGGGATATATTTGACTAGGATCTAACAGCCTGTGGTATTGGTATTCTGTCACCATGGCTAGATACCCAAGATAATAAACTTAGAAAGAGAAAGAGTTCATTCTGGGTTGCAGTGTGAGAGCATTTGGCCCAGGATCTCCTGATCCCCATCATTTCTAACCTGTGTGGTGAGAAACACCTCACTGCAGAAGAGCTCCACTGAGCGACCACGCATGTCACAGCCAGAGAGCAAAGGAACAGTTTTCTTCACAGCACTCTCCCAGTGACCCCACGGCCCCCAGGTAGGCCTCCCTGCCTAGAAGTCTTGGCACTTCCCCGAGTGCCTGCAGCCGGGCCCTAACCACTTGGGCCACCAGGCCAATATGTTTATCCACATTGTAATATACGTTGAATTCACCCGTTTAAGTTTACCTGAGAAGTTCAACACTAGATCCACTGAGCACAACAACTACAAAAAGCTACACAGATCTAGCCCATAACAGCTAACCAAAGTAGGAGAAGATTTGAGATGGGGGGATGGGTACAAGAGGAACAGAAAAAAATAAAAGAGCTGGCAAGATGCCAGGAGTGGGGGGAGTCAAAGAAGAGGCCGGCAAGAAGGCTGAGTGAGCACTCACTGCTCACCCCGAGGACCTGAGGTCTGTCCCCAGCACCCAAGTTTAGTGGCTCATCGCCGCCGCTTGTAGCTCCCGTTCCAGGGGACTCCACTGTGTCTTTCGGGCTTCGCAGGCAGCTGCGTTCACATGTGCGTATCCCCACACAGATACACATGCATACACATAACTAAAACTAAAAGTGAAGATTTTATAAGTCTAAAAAAATAAAATAAAAAATGTGGTGGCAAAAGGAGAATTAGAAAAGGACAGATGAGGAATGAAGGAAAACCGGAAAAATACGGAGCTCGCACTCGGAAAGTTAGCAACATGGCGTCCAATGCTGTGCCGAGAGTTTGAGAACAAGATGGAAAGTGACCGAAGTGTGGCAGAGGACGGAGCTCAACCATTGCTGTGGCCGAAGAATACTCTTTGGAAACAATGTTGTTCCCTTCCTTCTCCCTTGCCCAGAGAGCTGTCACTGATGGTTTTGTGCTGGGCCACCGTCTGCAATGCTTCCTAGCTGATTGGCCACTGCTCAGTCTGCTGTACAGATGGTAACCTAGGTCAGACGTGCAGACTGCCCCACCCAGCTGGAGACTGCAGAGGCAAGGAAGAAGCATTATCACATTGACCCTTGATAAATCTAAGTTAGAGACTTTGCCCACTGGGGTGGTTGAGTCCCTACCCTCCTAGCTTATTCTATGAACCATGGCCACAGACAATCACATATTCTATTTTGCTATACATAACAAACTAGTAGGGACGTGTGTGTGTGTGTGTGTGTGTGTGTGTGTGTGTGTGTGAGAGAGAGAGAGAGAGAGAGAGAGAGAGAGAGAGAGAGAGAGAGAGAGAGGGAGAGAATATGTGCTTTTATATAAAGCATATCTAGCCTTTGGTAGCATTTTGAAGCCATTTTAACACAGTGAGTACCCAAAACATAGGTATTTCTCTGGCACACTTTTTCACCCACCTGCTGCATTCAGACATGCCCCTCTCTGGTGTTCTAGCCACCTCTTCTGCCACAGATGATGGAAACACATCTACAGCCTTTCCGTGTTCTTCTAGGATCCAGAATACAAAGGCTCTTGTGTATGTGATGTTTCATTTGGAAGATCTAATGTAGACAGGTTGGGCCATCCACAGGCAAGAAATCTTAAGTAATTATCTAAGACGTTTTCAAACTTCCCAATAACAGTTAAGTCTTGCAATATTAGTTTATTTAGCTTAACCTTATTTTTCAATATTATCTCCTCTCTGTCTCTCTCTCTCTACTAGCCCTGTCTGGCCTAGAACTCTCTATGTAGACTAGGCTGGCCTTGAGCTCATAGAGATCTGCCTGCTTTTGCCTCCCAAATGCTAAAGATATTCTGGCTATCTTAGAACTCATTATATAGACCAAGCTGACCTCTAATTCACAGAGCTCTGCCTGCCTCTGTCTCCCAAGTGCTGAGATTAAAGATGTATTGTAATCGGACATTTCCTGTCCCAACCACCCAGTCCCAAATAACTGACTCAGAGGCTAAATATGAATTATAAATGCTCTGCGGATAGCTCAGGCTTGTTGCTAACTAGCTCTTACACTTCACCCATAGTCCTTATTTACTCTCTGCCATGTGACAGCACCTTTATTAGCACAGCATGTTCATCTCCTGTTCCCTCTGCATCTGGCTGGCAACTCCTCTCTCTGCCCTTCTCCTTCCCATCATCCTTAGTTTGGTCGCCCCACCTTTACTTCCTGACCAGCTACTGGCCAGTCAGCATTTTATTAAACCAACTCGAGTGACAAATCTTTACAGTGTACAAGAGGATTATTCCACAGGTATATGTGCCACCATGCCCAGCCTTAAAGAAAAATTTCAATGTACAGGTTTTAAATTTTGAAAATTGATTTACCCAAAGCATTGAACTTCACAATATTGGACCTAAAAGTTTGTGTTTCTTGATAGTGATGCTATTATTAATATTTCCAAAAAATGAAAACAAAACCATTTTGTTTCTAAATTCTTTGTTGCATAGGTCATGTAGACTAGATTTTAAAAGAAAAAAATTTTATGCAGTCTGAACATGAAGCTATGTGATATTGGATAAGTAGTTCTAAGTCTCTGGGCCTCCCTTCCCATACCTAAATTGGTAGGGAGACCTTCTGTGTTTTTCTTGTCAAATGCAATGAAGGAAGCAATAATAAAACAGCAGGGGGCAGTCTAGAGATGCAGCTTACTGGGAGAAAGGGCCATGGTCAGGCCTGAAGGTTAGGGGTGGGGGGGGGGTGTTAGATAAAAACAATGCAATGTATGGAGATGGAAACATGGAGACTTGTGGAGGCCCACAGAGGTTTCCTAGTGAGATCTGAGCTTGCTTTACCCAGCAGGGCTGCATTAAGGGATGGCTTGACCACGTGTATGGTTACCAGGTGATTGGAAGGGTCTGCACTTGGCCGTGCTAGGGGGAGGTCTTTTGCCCTGCCCTTTGGCATTCCTATAAAAAAAATAAAATAAAAAAAAATAAAAAATAAAAAAAAAAACATTAGAAGAGACAGAGGGGCCGATGGATATTGATCCAGCCCCCCCCCCCCCCCCCC